AGTTAGTCAAAACCTGAACTATGAGTCGGAGTAATGTAATGAAGCATATCATGGATACAGTGTGTTACATTTTGTCGCGAAGTATCAACATGATTTAGAACGCTCTTCACTGTATCCAATGTATGAGGTGCTGCGTGGTTGGCCGAGGGGAGTTATGATTCTGATTGACTGAGCTGATCACTGTCTCTCATCTGGCTGACTCAAGTGGCTCAGTAGGTAGCACTGTGGCCTCAGAGTCAAAAGTTCTGGATTAAAGTCTCACTGCAGGACTTGTTGGCCATGGAAGGGGTCCTAATGGTACAGTTCAAGCATGTTGATAATCAGCTTGCTAATCCTTCCAACAGCTCCCCAAAAGGGGAGAAGCACAAGAGAAGATAGTGAAACTAACAAACCCAGATAACTGGAATTTGCATGGCATTAGCTAGCTTGGAAAAGAAGTGGGAAATCACATCAAAGAAAAATAAAACACTGCAGATCGGAGATAAAACACATTCGCGAAACTCAGAAGATCTCACACATTTGTGAAGTGGATGCACTAATGGTTGTAAAAGGGAGGTGGATGCACAATCGGGAGCTAGACACAGGAGGGGGTTAAGGTTGGCCTATCTGCAAAAATGGAGAATGGAGATCGAGAAATCAAAGATGAACGGGGAAGAAACAGATGAACCAAACGATGGAGAGAAGAATGGCAACTGGAATCATTCTTAATAGTTCCAATTCTAGATGCGGACAGGAAGCAGCATGAACAGTCTTCATGTACTTAAGAGACATGACATACACAACCACTGCCCAATGGTCCACAAAGGAACATAGACAATTAGGCTGCACGTGGCTACTTGCAGCAACAACTTCCATTTGAAGGAAGTGGGACAAGTTAAAGGAGACATTGTTTATGAGAACACAGCTCAGCAGGTGAGGTTGGCGCTGGATGGGATCTGTTCAGGCCTCCTTTCAGATACTAGTGAAATTTATCACCGTATTTTTGTGTCAAATTTCATCTATCATGTATCTATCCATTTCAACAGCTATTGACATAGTCTTGAATCGCATGTCCTCCTCACTAGGGAGCTGTTGGAAGGATTAGCAGGCTGATTATCAACTGTTCACCACACTGTTAAAATTTCATATCATCAATACATCTTGAAATTACGGCCTGTACCTACCTCGGATCTAAGCCAATGTGCATCAAAAGCAGTATTTTCCATAGCTGAATCGCTGGAAGTCCAGTGTACCTCCTACCAGGCCAAAAGTAGCTTCACATATATATTGTATATTGTTTGTGTGTAAAGCTTCCATTTTGCTTATAGACATAACATATGGTATTTTTTTAAAAAGTCCATGCATATACCAATTACACTGCCATTGTTCGTTCTTGTTGTTGCATTCATAAAACAGTAAATTTGGAATTAAAATTCTATTGGCACTTAAATAAAAGAGATCCAGAAAGTCATTTGTGCAGTGCTGTTTCGGTGACACTACATGGACCTACATCGATTCATCGGGACAGGCACAAGTGCAAATCTTAACCAATGTCGTTTTCTTCACTCATATGTCATAGGATAGACATCACAAAAACAAGCCACTTGGCTCAGTTTCACTGCTGCTAACTCAAATAAGCCTACCATTGTAACCATCTACTCCCTTAATTCTCATATGCTGTCTAGCTTCGCTTTAAATGTTCCTAATAATATTCTTTTCAACAGCTCCCTGTGAAGTGAGTTGCACGTTCTTGCGCTCTTCGGGTAAAAAAGCATCTTTCTGAATTGTGCTTTGGATTTCTTAGTGAATATTTCATAGGGATGCCTCTACTTGTGCTTTTCCCCAACAAAAAAAAAAAAAAAATTCTCTCTGCATCCACTTTATCAAATCTTTTTGTACTTTTAGAGGCCCATTAGGTTAGGCCTCAGACTTGTTTTCAAGAGAAAGAAGAAAAAAAAAATCAAATTGCCTGATACGTGTATCCATGCGCTTCTTGCATCATCTTTGCAAATGTGCTCCACACCCTCACCAGTATCACTGAAGAAAGAAGGAACTCGACTAAAATATCCAGAAAGTTCACTCACCTCCTATTGCCATGACCCAGCTTGCCATCTTCTGCCTCTCCCCAAGAGTAGACTTCACCTTCAGATGACAAAGCAAGGCAGTGTTTGCCTCCTGAATTTACTGCCACCTTCTTTACAAAAACATGTTGAATGGATTCCAGCAAAGTGGGGGTTGATACAGACTCTGTTCCTCCAATCCCCAGTCTTCCCCCAGCTCCATATCCAGTAGCGTACAACTAACATAATAGAACAAGAAGCAAAAATTATTAATGCAATGCACCTTTGTCTTACAGCCACATACTCTTCTCCGATCAATTAAAGACTCTGCAAAATAGTTCAAACAATACCACTTTGCTACTAATAAAAGACCAACACATAGTTTCTAACTCTCATTTGACCATTTTGATAATCTACATTACTGTTCTTCAATAAATGACTTATAGCATGCAGAACTCTTCAAAATAGGGAAGCATTAACTGAGAGTATTAACAAAGGATGTGAACATTCACCTTTCCATCTGCTGTTACCGCAAACAATGTCTGTTCTCCACCAATCAGCTGCACAGGTCTTAAGGTTGCTAATGCCTCACATGGTGTTGGAACTTTAACTTTTGCACCTTCTATACCCCCCAGCTGTCCTCTATGGTTGTGACCCCAGCCATAAATAGTTCCACTTCCACCAGCAGAAAGGGTCCAATCATCAGACCGTCTGTAAAAAGAAAAATACATTTGAAGCACATACACATCCTTCTACCAATTGTTTTGCTTTTCTCTGCTCTCAGTCAAAAAAAAATTGAAGAACCAAAGCTTATTCTCAACTATCAATCAGTTCATAAATATCTCAGTAAAAACAGTCAATATGATTGGAATTTTTGGTGTCCAGAAACGATTGGCACTAAACCTCTCGTGTTTACCTTTACACAGTTTTTGATGATTTCATTGAGATCATCATTAGATCAACTATTTTTCTCCTGCACAATAAGGGAATGTTACCACAGGACTCCAGCTAATCCAGCTGCTAATGTTTGTATGAAACCACAGGGTCCCTGAGTTATTATGGCACAGGAGATCGCTCTGCCCTTCGTCTCTGTGCAAGCTCTCCATTGGTGCAATTTACATACCACCACTCCCCAGTCCTCTTCCCACAGACCTGCATGTTCTTCTTTCTCAGGTAATAATCAATTGCCTTTTGAATGAAACGATTAAATCTGCTTCTGCCATACTCTCGAACAGCATATTTCAGGTCGTGACCCATCGCTGTGTGAAATGCATCTCCTCAGTTCTCCATTGCTTCTTTTGACTGATATTACCTGAAACTTGCGCTCTCTTATTAACAATATTCTGCTCTTGGGAACAATTTCTCCTTGTCTGCTCTGTCCAGTCCCCTCATGATTTTGAATACCTCCATCACATCTCTTCTTACTTCTCTTCTCCAAGAGAACCAGTTCTAACTTCTCTATCTGTACAGGTGAAGTTTCTCAATATGGGACAATTCTTATGAATCTCTCCTGCAGTTTCTCTCCTGACTTCAAATCCTTCCTAAAGCGTAGAGTAAAGAATCGGGCACAGTATTCCAGTTGAGAGCAAACCAGTGTTTGCTACAAGTTTAACACGACTTTTTGGCTTTTATTCTCTACATCCTCACTGATACAGTTGAATGCTCTATGAACCATGTTTCCTATTCATCATGTTACCTTCAATGACTAATGCAAATATACACCCATGTCCCTCTGTTTTTGCACTCATTTCAGAATCGTGGCCTTTACTTTGCACTGTTTCTCCACGCTCTGCTTATCAAAATGACTCACTTCATACTTCTACAAACATACAAATTAGGCGCATACATCAACCATTTGGCCCTTTAATTCTTCTACCATTTAAAAGCATCATGGTTGGTGTGTGTGCTCGGAATCCTTAATGTTCTGGACAAGGTGGTGGTGATCTGCCTTCTTAAACCACTACAGTACTTGAGATGTGCTGTTAGGAAGGAAGTTCCAGGATTCTGACCCACCGAGAATGAAGGAACAACAATATACTTAAGGCAGGATATTGTGCAGCTCAGAGGGAGAAATGCCTTCTGGAAGTCCAGATACATCACATCAATAGCATTGCCCTCATCAAAAGACTCTAGCAAGTTAAACACTATTTTCTTTCATGAATTAATTGCTTACTTTCCTCAATTAACCTGCATTTCCTCAACAGACTGTGCAATTTGTCTAGAATTACTGTTTCTAGAAATTTTGTGACCAAGGTTTAAATAGTTACTGGGCTTATTTTTACACACATTTTTGAAAAAGGCTAGAAAATTTGCAATTCTTTAGTTCCTATGGCACCAACCTGAGTCTAAGGAAGACTGAAAAACTACAGCTCATGTCTCTGTAATTTACATACTCACTTCCTTCAGATATATCCCATTTAGTCCTGTCACCTCGTCCAGTCCCCTCAGGGCCAAGTTATCCAATATCACTAGATCAATTTTAAATCTTTCATATCAAGTTAGCAATGGTTATTGTGAGTTTAATTTGCCACCACATAGAAAGACCATATAGTTCATGTGTGCATTTCGAATACTTTTAAAAGAATACTTTTCTAATTTTTAATGGTTCTCTGCTCCATATAGTGAAACCTAATAATGTTAGCACTGTTTTATGTTTCTCCACCTCTACGGACATCCTTTCAAGTGGCTGAATAAGCACCTCTATTGACAGGAATTAATACCTTGCCTGGAACTTGGAAGGTGCCACACAGGAAGCTGCTAAATAAGAGCCCATGGTATTCGGGGCAAGATATGGCATTGAGAGAATATTGACTGACAGAACGCACAAAGTGGGAATAAAGGGGTCTTTTTTCAGGATGGTAGCCGACAACGAGTAGAGTTCCACAGAGGTCAGTTTGGGACCACGCTATTCATATTATATATTAACCATCTGAATGAAGGAACTGAGGACATTGTTACTAAGTTTGTAGATGACATGACAGGAAGTGTTGAGGTGGCAGGGAGGCTGCAGAAGGACTTGGACAGGCTAGGAGAGAGGGCGAAGAAGTGGCAGTTGGAATAAAATGTGGGAAAATGAGAAGTTATGCACTTTAGTAGGTAGAAGAGAGGTGTAGACCATTTTCTCAATGGGGAAAGGCTTCAGAAATCTGAAACACAAAGGGACTTAAGGTGTCCTAGTTCAGGATTCTCTTAAGGTTAACATACAGGTTCAGTTGGTAGTCAAAGACAAATGCAATGTTAGCATTCATTTCAAGAGGGCTGGAATACAAGAGCAGTGACACATACTGATAAGGCTATACAACACTCTGGTCAGACCACATCTGGAATATCGTGAGCAGTTTTGGGCCCTGTATCTAAGTGAGAATGTGTTGGCACTGGAGGCACTCCAGAGGGAGGTTCACAAGAATAACCCTGTGAGTGTAGGGCTCATCATATGATGAGCAATTGAGGGCTCTAAGTCTGTACCCAGTTGCATTTAGAAGGATGGCGGTGGTGGTAGGTAATCTCGTTGAAGTTTTCAGAATACAAAGAGGCCTGGAAAGAGTGTACATGAAGATGTTTCCACTAGTTGGAGAAACTAGACACAGCCTGAGTGAAAGGACGACTCTTTAGATGAGGAGGAATTTGTTCAGCCAGAGGATGATGAATCTATGGAACTCATTGCTGCAGAAAGCTGTGGAGGCCACGGCATTGAGTGCCTTTAAGACAGAGGTAGATACTTCTTGATTAGTAGGGAGGTTTAATCAAATGTTACAGGGAGAAGGCAGCAAAATGGGGCTGAGAAACATATCAGCCATGATCGAATGATGGAGTAGACTCAATGGGTCAAATCTTATGGTTATTGCCTGGTCTTTCATTTGGCATAAAGCAGGGAGAAAAGATGGGTAGGCAGAGGGGAACAAGACAGTAAACTATGTTGTCATTGATAGATTCCATTGAATGGAGTAGGGAAGCATCATAAACAAAATTCCTTTAAAATTTTTACATATGGCATTTATTCGGAGACAAAATAAAGTCACAACAACATAGTAACTGAATATTCTCTACAGGCAATTTAAAATGACACTATTGGTTTTGCACCTGTTAATCCACTGAACAAGTTGTTCATCTTGTTCTCTTCTAAAAATGTCATGGTTCTCATGAAGCACATCCATATTTTCATTCTCAACCATTAATTCACGGATTTTTTTTGCCACCTGTGCCAGAAGCAAAACAAATTATGAGAAGCTGAAATCATTATTGAAACCATTCCAATTTGGTGTTTCAGTTGATGTATAACCAAACAGCTAGAAATTGTAACTCTTAAAAGTATTCACAGGAACATAAGAATTGGGCCCATCGAGCCTGCTCTGCTGTTTAACATGATTAAGATTGATGGAATACCTCAATGCCTTTTACCCAGCCCATCCCCATAAGCCTGTATGCCATTAGTACTCAGAAACTTATTACCTTCCATTTTAAATATACTTAAAGACTGAGCTTCCGTCACCCTCTGTGGTAGAGAATTCCAAAGATTCATTACATTCAGAGTAAAAAGAAATTCTTATCTCATTCCTAAATGGCATTTCCTTTATATTTAAATTGTTGCCCCTAGCTGTAGGCTCCTCAACCAGAGAAACTCTTACCTGCATTTACCCTGTCTATCTCATTAAGTACTTTTTTTTTTAAAAAAGTTTCAATGAGATCACCTCTCATGCTTTGCAACTCTGGAGTAGACAGACCCAGTTTCCCCGGCCTCTGCGCAGTCCGGGGAACAAATCTGCTGAACCTTTGTTACACTCCCTTTATAGTATTAATAAATTTCCTGAGATAAGAGAACAAAATTGTACACAGTACTCCAGGTGCATCTTAACCAAACTCTTGTGCAAATGAGGCCATTCTGAAGTACTACTCCTGTATACAAATCCTCATGATAAAAGCTAATATTCCATAAGCCTTCCGAATAACTTTCTGCAGCTGCATATTAGTCTTCAGTGACTTATTGACAAGGACATGCAAGTTCCTCGGCTCATCTGTTCTTTCACGCCTTTTGCTATTTACAAAATACTCTACCTCAATTTTTTGTATATTACATAGTTACCAGCAATGCAAAGGGTTAATTAGCCAAATGATGAGAATTTAAACTTGATAAACATTTTTGTATTTTGCTAAGTGGAATAACAAGATCAGGGTGAAGATTCCTGACCTTTCATCAATGACTAACATTGACAAATCCACTAAGTAATATGAATGTAATGGTCTAGAAATATTGTAGCAATTTTTAAAAGTGTATCCATGAAGAGGAGCATAACTGGTTAGGCCAGCACTTATGGCCCATCCCTAATTGTCCAGATGACGGTTAAGAACCAATCACATTGCTGTGGGTCTGGAGTTACATGTAGTCCACACCAGATAAGAATGGCAGATTTTCTTCTCTAAAAGACATCGGTGAACCAGCTGAATCTTTATAGCAATAAACAGTTGTTGTGCATCATTAGACTAGCTTTTTAGTGAATTCAAATTTCACAATCGTGGGATCAAATCTACATTCCTGGAACATCAGCCTGGGGTTCTGGATTACTAGTATAGTTAATTTACCACTATAGCACTGTCTCCTCTTTGACAATTATGACTCACGAATAGAATTAACAAATTTATTCAAAGAATTCTACATAAAAATTGTCTGGAAAAGACAAATTCTATCCTTATAGCAATTCTCCATGGGTGGGATTTGATTAAACAGATGTGGGCAGGATCAGCAGGAAACCAGCATTGCTTCAGAGGGGAAGTGAAATTGGAATTAAGTGCCTGATAGGTTATGGAGAGGGTTAGGTGAATGGAGGCCAGGGCAATGGGGTTGACTTGCAGCAGTCACCCTTTTCTCAACGCTGGACAGCCCCATTATAACACAAACAGGAAAGCCATGTCATTGAATTTCATCTCTGAGGTATCACCAAAGATGAGAGAGCCGAGGGTCAAATGGCTGTATGGGAGAGTGATGCATGGCTTTCCCATAGTGAAGTTGGTCTGGCATCCACTTTTTTCGCCACAGCAGGCTTCATTAAATCCATCTCCATACGAACTCAAAGAAAGAAAGAATCAGCTACTGATTGCACCACTGACATATAAAATATGTTAAGACAAATCTTATATAAATTTCCACAAGTATCTTTCTAGATCAATGAGTTTGGATGGGTCAAATAGCCTTCCTTATTTGTAGTCACATTCTTGAATAAAGGAATGACAACTGTTTATTACATTGAATAATGTTAAGTAAACGGCTAAGGTAGATTGCACCAAGACAGAAATGGGTGACCATATTTCAGACCAAGGCTTAAGGGCTAGATTGTCCACCCAGAGCGTTTGAGGCATCAAGTTAATTTGCAAGAGCGAACAGTGTATAGACAGTCAACATTATACATTTTCCAAATCTTAGAGTTGGCTATGGCACTCTGTTTCAGAGTGTTAACTAACAACAGACAAGCCCTGGGTTTATTGAAGTATTCTTAATATTTATTACCTCCTCAGGAAACTGCCGTGGCAATGATGTTCTCTTATCTAGAGCCACAGCAACTCTCAAGGCCATGCAGTATCGTCTAAACCAAGCCCACTTGTGTGTCTCAGCACAGCAAGGTAGAGTATCAAGCTCTAAATCGCATGCCAGAGCAACTAAAACCTGCAAAAAAACAAAGTACCACTTAAGATTTCATTACATTCTATCTTTATACAAAAATTGTCAATGTATCTCAGGAGAACCAGATTGGGTTCAGATGAGCTGTGAAGAATGGACACCGGAGTAAGCTTTCGTACAGCCACATCTACCCTGCAGAATTAAATCCCAAGGATCAATGCAGAGGGGAAAACTATCACAATAACTAAAGTTTCAGTTTCCGCACCAAACATATCTTGATGGAAACAACAGTATCATGATCTTGATGTCTATGAAAGCCTGCTTTGTGACAAATTGCCTGCTGCATTTCCTCCAGTAAATAGTGACTGTAGTTCAATAATATGTAAAATTGCTTTATAGCCTGTTAAATAACTAAAAGTTGAAACGTGCTTTACAACTACAAGTTCTCTTTCTTTTTCTTTCTAACTTGGTCTTAATAGTAGTTTTCCGAGGGAGCTCTTACATCAACAGCATTTAACGTTATTTTTCAGCTGTTGATTAAAAAAATGCTTATCAGCAGCTAACATTCTTAAGACTACTGTCCAATGCAAATAAAAAACAAATTTCGCATAACGTGTGTAAATACTGTATTACTGAAAAATTGGAGTGTTAACATCAATCTAAACAGTTTCTACAAAGCCATAGAAATCTCAAGTGAAGGAATTAAGGTAGCACCTTGTTCAGCATTAAGCAAACAATGACTTCCAGCTATTTCACCAGAAGGCGGTAAGGAGAAGTGACTGAGGAAGATTCTGGGAGAAGTTGGCTCACTCACCACAACTGAGAAGGGGATCATGAAGGACCCGGTGCTCAACACAAAGAAGAGCATTCAACCATAGGACAATTTTGGGAGTGGCCATTTTGTAGAGGTGCCGTGAAGTTGAAGTGCTGCTGGTGAGGTCAAAGTGTGGCGAGCATCAGACTTCGCTGAGGAGGGCATTAAGCCAAGGTAATTTAAATCACTAGTTATTAGAGGGGCAGTAACGGCAGTTAGTGGAATGGTATGCTCCTCCTCTGAGGTAGGGGAGATGAGGAAGAAGTCAAACATCCCTGACAACTATGTCCGCAGGAAGTGTGTCCAACTGCATCTCCTCTCAGACTGCATGGACCCGCTAGAGTGGCAGCTGGACACACCCAGGAGCATGTAGGCGGCTGAAAATTTCTAAAAAGGAGTTTCAGAGACTTTTTAAAATTCATTTATGGAATGAGGGCATTACTGGCTAGGCTAACATTTATTGCCCAATCCTAATTGCCCAAAAGACAACAAAGCCCACTTATAAGAACTAAAACTTAGTCACCACAATCTTCAGTTTGCATTTAAAAAAAAAGCATGCAACACTTGGAATAGCAACCTGATATTACCGAAATTATGTTTTATCTAAAATGCTACTTAATCAAAGGGCAGGTATATCATTCCACAAGTTCAAGCTGATGATAATGGACAGCAATAGGAAAGCTAAGGTCAATTATTGCAACGCCAAGTACATGCCGAGATCAGCTGACTCCACACAGGCCAACAGTCAAATTCAAAGACCTTCTAGAAAGCAGAGTTAACATTTTGAATGCGGTAACCCTTCGTCAGAACTTTTGCTGGCAGACCTGCTAAGTTTTTTGTTTTAAAGACCTTCTACTTTTACCTTTACCATTAAGTGAGCTCGTGTCTGATAAGATTTGTAAAACGTTTATTTTTCAATCTCCAATTCTAAATACATACATCAAAACAAAATTATTACCTTAAAGAATGGGCTGTGAAGGAGCTGTTTTCCCCCTCTTACTATGGGATCTTCATATTCATACTGACGCTGCAAAGCCTCAGGAAGACCTTTGACTAATGCAGCTAAAGCAGTCCCAGTAAAGCTCTGAAAGAAAAACTGTCCAAAGTGAGCATGTAATGCCACTTTTTTTTTTTTTTAGAAAGTATGGCAATGAGCAAATAAACTTAATAGACATGTTTAAATAGGTTGTTGCCATACCAAAGATCGCGATTCTCCATCACTGTCACCAAGAAGCCTATTGATATTGATGGTCTGACCAAACTCTGTGGTCAGGAGTTTGCGCAGTCTCTGCAAGGCCCACATTCTGTGACTTGCAGCTTTTATATAAAGGAAACAAAATCATTAATGCATCAGTCACAATACTGGATGAAGAATGAAAAGTTTCTTTATCACTTCATCTTTTAATACTCACCGAGTGCACTTAGCTGAGCACAAGCTGCCAAAGAAGCAGCTAAACGGGGCACAATACTTCTGTTTGATGCAAAGCTCAATCGGAAATCCAGCAGGCAGGTAACTAAATCCATTGAAGGACATGACAAAATGCACCGATCTGACAGAAGATCTTTAGGGCCTGGTTCAAATATTTAAAAAGTTGGTAGAATGACTACAACAAAACAAAATTCAAACTACTTGGCAAACTGAAACCAAAGATGTCTTTTAGGAAAGATTGGATACTACTGTTCCTCTATTAAACAAGTCCATATTATTAAATTTGTACCACAGATCAATAGCACTCATGGAGTGATGTAAAAGTCTGAGTCTTATGATTCCTCGCAGTAAAGATTTTGATCTTAACTATGACATTAAGAACAAGTGCTAAGGAATCCCAAAATAGGAGGTGGAGATGGTGAATTAGTGATCTTACAAATGGAGTGTTTTCGAGAACTATTCTGATTTTTGTTTTGACCAGGAGGCAGTGCATTTTTTTAGTTATATTAGGAATGGACAGTGCTGAATCATTAAAAAGACATGCAAACCATGACAGCAGCTGCTAACAGTTCTTCAGAGCTCTAAACAATACAAAAATCCTCTGGCACGGAGAACAAAATAGGCATCACCATCTAAACACTTAATACAGCAAAAAGTAAAAGGCAGAATTCAGTTCTAGCGTTGTGACAGCAAAACAGACTGCACAATATTA